GGAAGTATTAAGATTATCACGATGTGAATGGTGAATGTTGGGTGTTATAGCTTACGTTAGACTCCAATAATACTCATCAGTATTATCCGAGGAATGATGATTTATAAAGATAAGAATTTACCAGCGAGAACCTTAATGGAATGCTTTTTAGATACGAGGCAGAAGGTCGTTATCGTAAGCAAATCGAAGCGCGTAAAGTGTGGGAAGCAATCGTGACGTCGCAAATCGAGACTGGTGTTCCTTATATGGTCTATAAAGATGCGTGCAATCGTAAGTCGAATCAAAAGAATTTGGGCACCATCAAATGCTCCAATCTGTGCACTGAAATCGTCGAATACTCGTCTCCAACCGAAGTGGCCGTTTGTAATTTGGCGTCGATTGCGTTGAATCGCTTCGTGACATCCGAAAAGAAGTTCGATTTCGCCAAACTTCATCACGTCACAAAAGTGATCACGAGAAATTTGAACCGTGTCATTGACGTTAACTACTATCCGATACCTGAAGCCGAAGTGTCGAACATGCGTCACCGACCGATCGGTATTGGTGTACAAGGACTGGCTGATGCGTTCATGTTAATGAGGCAAGTGGCTCGTTTTGCGCATTGATGCAACAGTTTCTGTGGAATTCTCTTCTGTTTTATAGATGTTGGATTTTTTGAAACGTTTTGGAGGAAATTTGAGTCAATTGGATTGTGTTGTTTTGTTTATATTCTCGTTGTGCAGATATCCATTCACGAGCGCACCAGCGAGAGATCTGAACAAACGCATCTTCGAAACAATTTATCACGCCGCACTCGAGTCATCTTGTGAATTGGCCGAAAAGTATGGACCTTATGAGACATACGAAGGAAGTCCGATTAGCAAAGGGGTGAGTAATGTGCCTCTTTGATTTTTAGAGAAACTTCCGCTTTGAATTCTGAAAAAATTTCCGTGAACATAGGTTGTCTGTATTTTTCGGTAGTCGCATATGAAGTGTGTAGTATTCTCATTAATATTGTACATTGGCCAGATCGTAATGGTTTATGTGGATATAAGAGAGAATATGATATTTGATTCAATGTTACCAATTATTAGCATTTGTTCTGAGGTATTTCTTTCGATGGTCTCAAATCAAGGATATTTTTGCTTCATTCTATGATTGCTAAAGGGGCATTTACTTAAGTGAGTATGCAATTGAGTAATGCGTTGCAGATCCAATAAAAACATTTTGAGTCAACGATATTATGGTTCGTTTTCGTATTCTTGCAGATTCTACAACACGATATGTGGGGCGTAACGCCGACGGATCAGTGCGACTGGGATTCACTTCGAGCGAAAATCGCGAAATTCGGTGTTCGTAACAGTCTCCTGCTGGCACCAATGCCTACCGCATCAACCGCCCAAATATTGGGCAATAACGAAGGCTTCGAACCGTATACGACTAATATCTATACGCGAAACGTGCTCTCCGGAAACTTCCAAGTAAGCAAATGAATAATGCTAGTGATAGTAGTGTGGAATAATTACAAATGTTGTGGTAATAGTAACATTATTAATGTCATATCGTCGTTACATTACGATTCTGCTGTTATCGTTTGAGCCAGCTCCACGGATTTGTAGTGAATTAGATGACG